CTCACGCCCCGCCGACGACAGGTAAGTGCTGATTCAGTTTTTCAGTTATAAACATATTACTTTGTCTATGCTCAGAATTGAGGATCAAGACTTTAGTTAAGATGCTCGAATCAGGTTCAGACTTTAGAGTTCGGACATGACTCTAGAATTCAGGCATCCAGATATGACTCTAGACGTTAAGATCTTCCTATATGACTCTAGAGTTCTTCAGGTTTCATGTCAGTATTTATCGGCCATTTTTAGCAACTCGTCAAGAGATCTGTGTGCCTTAGTAATCAGTCAGTAAGGTTATCACGTATTCAGTAATGTTTAACTTTTCTCAATGTTCAAATGCCGCCACGTAGGGAACCCGATCATCAGGCCCCTACTCAGGCTACCTTAGTCGCTCAGTTCTGCGACTATCACGCAGAGAAGTTCTCAGGACAGGGAGACCCCCGTATCGTTGATGAATGGATTCAGGGGTTGGAGTTCATCTTTGAGGTCATGGAATGCCCCGATAGATATCGCGTAGTTTGCGCTCAGCTTCAGCTCACTGGTGATGCAAGGCTCTGGTGGAACGCCTACTGGAGCATGCGTCCCGGTGAAAAGGCGGGTTGTACATGGGACATGTTCAAGAATCTAGTCCGCGACAAGTACTACCCTTCCTACTATCGGGCAGAGATGGAGCGCCAGTTCTTAGCGCTTCAGCAGGGCACTCGTACTGTCGATGAGTACGAGCGAGAGTTCACCAGACTAGCAGGTTTCGCACCAGATCTTGTTCGCACGGAGGCCCAGAGAGCGCAGCGGTTCATTGACGGACTTTACCCAGCAGTCCGTCATAACATTGTGGGACACGGGACTCAGACGTACGCTCGTGCCGTTTCTATCGCCCAGGAGGTGGATGCTAGTATCAGGAGGGAGGCAGTTCGTGATCGTGCTCAGCCATCTGCCCCAGCTCAGCCAGTTGCAGTTCCACCAGCTCTACCAGCTCCTCAGCCAGCAAAGGAGAAGAAGAGGAAGGCAAAGGGTGCACAGACTGACCGGAGGACCCGACAGAGACAGCAGCCAATTCCACCGTGCCCGACTTGTGGTCGACTTCACAGGGGAGAGTGTCGTGCTGGACAGGACATCTGTTACTTTTGCCAGGAGCCGGGACATTTTGCGAGTCGTTGCTCGAAGAAACTCCAGCAGCAGCCTCAGCAGCCACCACAGCAGCAGCAGCCACGACAGCAGGCACAAAGGCCGCCTCAGCAGCAGCAACAGCAGAGGGGCAGGCAGCAGGCCAGGGTTGACGCAGTCGATCAGGCGGAGGCAGCACAGCAGCCAGGTACCATGTCCGGAATGGTTGCTCTTAATAATGTTCCTGTGTTTGCTTTATTTGATACTGGAGCGACGCATACCTTCATTTCACGCCGATGTCTCGATGCCATCGGAGTTCATGCCGTTACCGCTATCGATCCTCTCGAGGTGAGTTTAGCCTCGGGACGAAAGATAGTGACCTCAGCTAAAGCTTCAGATCTTAGCCTTTCCATTGGTGGCCGAGTAGTGACTACCGACGCGTTTGTTCTCGAGATGAAGGATTTCGATCTTATTCTCGGGATGGATTGGCTATCGTTTTATCATGCTGACATTAGGTGTCATGACCGGGAGATCACTCTCTATCTTCCGGGAGACGAGTCGATTTCTTTCTTCGGCTCCAGGAACCGTTCACTGCCTCAGGTTGTTTCGATGGCGAAAGCCACTAAGTTATTACAACGAGGCAACTGCCAGGGTTACCTGGTAAGCCTTGTTGAGGATTCTCAGAAAGCGCGGACACCTCATGATGTTCCTATTGTTCGCGAGTTTGTTAACGTATTCCCAGACGAGCTTCCAGGAGGACCGCCCAACCGTCAGGTGGAGTTTTCTATCGATCTTATCCCAGGGGCCGGTCCGGTATCCAAAGCCCCATATCGCATGGCACCTAAAGAGTTGCAAGAGCTTAAGACCCAGATTCAGGAGCTATTACGACTCGGTTTCATCCGACCGAGCGTGTCACCATGGGGAGCACCCGTTCTCTTTGTCAAGAAGAAGGACGGATCTATGCGTATGTGTATCGATTACCGGGATCTCAACCGGTTGACGATCAAGAATAAGTACCCGCTTCCCAGGATCGACGACTTATTTGATCAGTTGAGGGGAGCCTGTGTATTTTCAAAGATTGATTTACGATCAGGCTACCACCAGCTGAAGATTAAGGAGTCAGACATCGCTAAGACCGCTTTCAGGACTCGTTACGGCCATTACGAGTTTGTTGTCATGCCTTTCGGTCTCAGCAATGCGCCAGCTATTTTCATGGACCTCATGAACCGTATTTTTCATCCATACCTCGATCAGTTCGTTATTGTCTTTATTGACGATATCCTTATCTACTCGAAGAGTCAGAAAGAGCACGAGGAGCATCTGAGGGTGGTCCTTGAAACCCTCAGACGAGAGAAGTTGTACGCCAAATTCTCCAAATGCGAGTTCTGTCTTGAGCGAGTATCTTTTCTGGGTCATGTGATTACCCAGGCAGGCATCGAGGTGGATCCTTCTAAGGTTTCAGCCGTGCAGAACTGGTCGACACCGAGGAGTCCGTCCGAGGTTCGCAGTTTTCTCGGTTTAGCTGGTTACTATCGCCGGTTTATCGAGGGCTTCTCTAAGATCGCCCTCCCTCTTTCCCAGCTGACGAGGAAGTCTGTGAAGTTCGAATGGACTGACAGATGCGAGGCGAGCTTTCAAGAGCTCAAGAGGAGATTGACTACAGCACCGGTGTTGACTATTCCCGATCCTACTCGGAGTTTCACTATCTTCAGCGATGCTTCGAGACAAGGCTTGGAATGTGTCCTTATGCAGGACAGGCAGGTCGTTGGGTATGCTTCGCGTCAGCTTAAGCCTCATGAGCAGAACTATCCTACGCACAACTTGGAGTTAGTCGCAGTCGTTCATGCCCTGAAGATCTGGCGACATTATCTTCACGGCGGACGCTGCGAGATATTCACAGACCATAAGAGCCTGCAGTACATCTTCACGCAGAAGGAGCTTAATATGAGGCAGCGCCGTTGGCTCGAACTGGTCAAGGATTATGATTGTTCTATCCAGTACCATCCGGGAAAGGCGAACGTCGTCGCGGATGCCCTAAGCCGGAAGGTGACGGGCGACTTGACGTACGTCATTACGCAGCAGAGTCCGTTGATTCACGAGTTTGCCCAGATGCAGCTTCAGGCGATCGATGCACTTCCCATGGCTGTCTCGGGGAGTACCAGTGCCAGTGTCAGTGCTATGCAGCTTCAGCCGACACTGAGAGAGAGGATCCGGCGAGAGCAGGCTTCTAATGAGTTTGTTCGTGTTATGGAGGCCAAGGTTCGCGCCGGAGGTGTTAAGGATTTTCAGCTAGGCGCCGACGGTTCCTTGGAGTTCAGAGGCAGGATCGTGGTCCCGAAGGTCGAGACGTTGCGGAAGGAGATTCTATCAGAGGCTCATACCGCACCTTACTTGGCCCATCCCGGGAACACGAAGATGTATCACGACCTGAAAGGGTCGTTCTGGTGGCGAGGCTTGAAGAAGGACGTCGCCGAGTTCGTCAGGAGGTGTCTTACCTGTCAGCAAGTCAAGGCCGAGCATCAGAGTCCGATTGGCCTCCTACAGCCACTGCCGATTCCGAGGTGGAAGTGGGAGGAAGTTACTATGGATTTCGTTACGGGATTACCGAGGTCGTCTGAACATCACGACGCTATCTGGGTCGTGGTCGACAGATTGACGAAGGTTGCGCATTTCTTACCCGTTTCGATGAAGATGTCTCTGGACAAGTTGGCTGAGATATATACCCGTGGGATCATCCGACTCCACGGAGTGCCCGTCACGATCGTATCAGACAGAGATCCCAGATTCGTCAGTCGATTCTAGCACATCTTACATGAGGCGATGGGCACGAAGCTTGAGTTTAGTTCAGCCTACCACCCGGAGACAGATGGTCAGTCAGAGCGGACGATTCAGACGCTGGAGGATATGCTTCGCGCCTTGGTTGTTGACAGGGGTGCTAAGTGGGAGTCACTGTTGCCGTACGCCGAGTTCGCGTATAACAACAGTTATCATTCCTCCATTCAGATGGCTCCTTCCGAAGCACTTTACGGTCGCAAGTGTCGTTCCCCTCTCTATTGGGACGACGTTGGAGAGCGACGAGTACTCGGTCCTAAGATGATCGAGGAAACAGCGGAGCAGGTCGAGTTGATCCGGCAGAGACTCAGGACAGCGCAGAGTCGACAGAAATCTTCCGCCGATCATCATCGACGAGACATTCAGTTCGAGGTTGGCGAGCCAGCCTTTCTCAGAGTTCATCCGATTCGCGGAGTTGTGCGATTCGGCAAGAGAGGGAAGCTGCACCCTCGTTTCATCGGTCCGTTCGAGGTTCTCGAGCGAATAGGCGAGGTCGCGTATCGTCTTGCCTTACCTCCCGAGTTATCAGGCATTCATAATGTTTTTCACGCATCGATGTTGCGTAAGTACGTGTGCGACCCCGATCATGTCATTCCTCACACGGATATTCAGGTTCATCCAGATCTTACGTACGAGGAGCGACCAGTTGCTGTACTAGACCGTCAGGTCCGTCGGCTCCGGAAGCGAGATATTCCCCTCGTGCGCATTCAGTGGGATCGCCACGGAGCTACATGGGAGGAAGAGTCCGACATTCGCGCTCGTTTCCCAGATTTCCAGTTTTGATGTACATATTCTTTTATCCTATGTACATAGTTCATGTATTCAGTTATGTTTTGAATTTCCGAGGACGGAAATTTTGTAAAGAGGGATGATTGTAATATCCCGATATTTTATCGGTATAAATTATGTTTTAGTTCCGATATAATAACGTTATCGTTTATTATTTTTGGAATTAATTATTTTCAGTCGGAATTACCGAAATTTATTTTCGACGTACCGTTTACGTTCGGAATAATTTTGGTAATTAAGTATTATGTTTAATTAAACAATTAAACATAAATTGAGTGATTAACTAAAATTAATTACCATTAGTGTTTAAATGCCGTGGGTTATAAGGCATATTATCCTAATTCTATTTAAGGCCGTATGATGAAGCATATAAGTTCTAATTTTTCCTAAATCTTCCTAAGTCCTAAGAAATTGAATTCTTACCCTTCCTTAAGTATAACACGTGTCAGTGTTACAAATAGCTTAGTCACCCTAACTCAACTCATAAGCTAGCAAGTGGAAAGGAGGGAGAAGGCCACGCCTCATCTATGTCACACCATTTCATCCCCATGGCCGATTATTTAAGGGAGTTTTGGGCTGAAAATTTTCCTTCAATTTTCCCATAAGGCATAACCAACACCTTCAGTATATTGTCCCTCTTCATCAGAAGCTAAAAACCAAGCATTTTCCCTCAATATTTCTATATAACCGCACGACAAAAGCTAGACATTGCACGACACAAGTAAAGACAAGAAGCACGCCTATTTTTCCGGTTCTGGTCGAGAAATTAGTGAGGTAAATTCCTCCTCAGTTCATAATCATGTTAGTAAGGTTATTTCAGAGTTAAGTGTTCGGTTTATATTTGAAAAATTCGAGTAAAGTCATGCCTAAGGTCGTATATGCTTAAGTAAGATTATAACCGAACAATTTTCGATTTTTCCCGACAACTCCCGAACTGTTAATGTTTAGTTGTTCAGTTCAGCCTATTTTATGTTCAATAAGTTCAGTTTGGTCGAGTAAAGTTGATGTATTGTTGAGGAATTGGCCCACGCCGTCGCTAGCGCCTATCGCGCGTAGCCACGGGCGGCCGTGGTTCGTGTTTTATTGCTTTCAGTAATATTTATGTC